GGACTTCTTCCAGAGTACCCAAAGCAGTATTTTGTTCCTAAAGCACTCAATGACATGGTATTGCTGAAATTAATGCACTATTGGAATGTCCCAGTAGATTTTCTCACTGTTAAAAAGTAACTGCTGCCCAGGATCTTCCTTTTGTGTTCCCCTCTGTACTGTGTAGAGGGTTACATGGCTTCATACTGGCTGTGACATTTTAAAACCTCTTTCCAAAGAGTGGATGTTACCTTCAGAACTATGTCCTGTTCACTGTGAAAAAAGCCCATTTTTGAAAATCATTCTCTGGCAAAAGTGCATTAATAGAATATTAATATACTTCACATCTTGCTTTTTTGTAGTTGTCTTTGACAGCTGTTTGACTATAGTTTGATATATCATAAATCAGAGTTGTCATAATCCTATTTATCATCAACAGATATTTGTTAAAAACTTTGCATGGATGAAAATAGTGGTGTCTAATACACTATGGAAACACAAGCCTAAGCAGTGACCAGTATAAATTCTAGTTCCATTACTTCCTGTGAGGCAATGTGCAAGTTGCTTAGCCTCTATCTTCTTCCTCTATAAATTGAGGTTCATGTTCTATACTCTCTCAGGAGTATAAAGAGAGTAAAGGAGATGATGTATATAAAAGTTTCACAGAGTCCAAGGCACACAGTAGAAAGCTCCTTTGGTTATGACATTTATGATTATCAGGATTGTTATTCTTATGATGATGATTGCAGTCAACTCTAAGCAACACTTAAATAATGAAACTGATGTATCAAGCACTATTTTAAGTATTCTAAGGCTAATTCTCAGAGAGTCCTGTGAAGTTGTTGTATCTCCAATTTATAGATGAGGAAACTGAGTTAGCACAAATTCATGCAGCCCCAGATGTAAACCTTGGTAACCTAGCCCAAGTCTGTGCAGTCATCAGGCTGGATTGCTTCTGACACAGACCCTGCCTCTCACTGCATGGGATGGCCTCAAGGTATAAGCCCAGCCTTTTCAGAGGAAAATGTATAAACTAGTTTTTATCTGTAGGATATCTTATCCAATGTTAAAGCAAGAATCGAGAGAGAAATTAATTGACTTTTGTAAGAGGCCATTTTCAACTTAGGTTTAAATGTCAAGTCTCTACTACCACATAACCACTCTACCATCCCCAGAGTCGAAACCTGTCAGCCCTTTGCTCAGTGCTAAAGTCAGTTTCCCAGTAGTTCTTTAGTTTTTTTGAAAGAACAGAGTATTCAAAGCAGAGGACGAAACTAAGAATTTCAGTCACTTGAAAAAACTGAGCATAGATAGGATTATTCTAAGCAAAAAACCAGGGGACCGTCTTGGATGGATGGAAAGATAAAATGATCATATCTACAAAAGAGAGTTTTAGTACTATAATGGGCCCAAATAGCTATACCATATTAGGAAAGTGTAGATTTCATTAAATAAATCCTTTTTTTATTATTTCATTTTGCAGTTACATAAACCATAAGTTAAATGATTGACAATTCAAATAGATTTTAAAAAAATCTGTATTTACAATATAAACTGTTGCTTCATTGTAGTTGGTAGTAATTTATAGTTTGGAAGAAAGGTTCACAGCACACATGTTTTGGAGCCAGAAGACCCCTGGTTTTTCTTTATTCTTTATATTACTTCCAGCCTCTCTGATTTGGGGCAGCCCATTCATTCCCACTAACCTTCAAGAGCCCAATCTAGAAAATGGGATACTGTCCACTTCTCAGAGTCACCATGAGGATTCAGTGATGTGACATAGACAGAGTGCCTGCATATCATGTTTTAAATGAAAATCATCATCATAGTAGCTTCAACGAGACATTTATAAAGCTACTCAGGATACAAATTGATTTTGATAGTAATATCTGCATGCTCAAAGAACCAAGAAATTAATAGTAAATGATGGCATTTAGGCCTTGAGAGTGGTGCAGGAAGATATGTTTGGTGATAAATTATTTGTCCTAGTACTTCCTCACTCTTTTTGGTTTTCCTTTTGCCCATTTGCCCAGGCAGTTGCAGAAATTGGAAGGAAAACATGTGCAGAGGGGCCAACCTGAAATTCAACCTAATGTAGCCAGGCCTCTGCTCCAGTTAATCAGGAAAGGGGCAACTTAGAATCCATGTGCTATGTAGGTTGAACAGCTCGAGAAGTCCCAACATCTTACGCCATGTCCTCAGTCAGAACATGCATGCAGGATACACTTGCTTAAGAAGAAAACACCTATTACTCTAAACAGATACTATCTTTTTTGATTAAATTCTTGCATATGAAAAACCCAGTGAAATCTGTCAGTGTGTGATTATTGTAATGTCTTCAGTAAAATGGCACAGTAGAAAATTGGAGAACTTTAACTTATGTGATATTTTTCCAATTATAAACTAATTTTTATTACCAAAAACTCGAATGCATAGAAAAACAAAAATTAAAAACACTAATAATCTCACTATTCTGTGTAACTACTGTTCACATTTTGAGAAGAATCTTTCATTCAATCTTTTTCCCTGAGACTTTACCTATATTTTTATTAATTATTTCTCCCATAGAGACACAAGTGGATTCAAAACACCAGAGGCACCAATTTTGGTTCAGCAATGCAGTTCCCTTAGGACTATACTGCCAGAATACACTATCCCATACATTCTGTGCTATAATTTGCTGTCATCATAAAATAATATATTGTAAACATTTTTATAAAAGTAAATATTTTTATGGCATCACTTTTAATATCTTCATGATATTTCATTATATGGCTAGCCTATCATTTATTTGCTATTTCCTTTTTGTTGTTCCCAAATTTTGTTGTACCCATAATATGTACCCAAATTATGTCTATTTATAGCTGGACTTTGTATTTAGGTTTCACTGTAAATTCATGAAATGTGGATGCTGGTGGCTTAAATATACTGTGTTGCTGAAAATATGGGATAGGGGCAGTCAGAGTTTGTGTAAAAATTAGCCAATGTCTGAGAAAGCAGCTCTCTACATTCAGGGGGTAACTTTCTCCCTCTGGTGAACTGAAGGGGCCCAATATGTAAAAGAATTGATATTCACTTTAGGGACAAGGAGTCTAGAAATCTCTCACCAGCTGAGTTTTCAGAGCATGATTTCTATGTAATTACTTCCAAAGATTGTGTAAACACCCAGTGATAAGCAGTAACCATCCCAGTTAATTGACAAATGTTGGCACTGAAAGGCAGCAAAGAGTGTAAGAATTGCTTTCCTTTCCACACTTTTATTTACTTAATATATTTAGAATTTTAGTATGTATAATGCTGATAAGACATAGTTTTTTCTTGATCTAAATACATTAGTGCTTGTGAGAATTGTATAGATTTCTGAGTATGTTATGCTGAGTTGTTCGTGGTTTTCAGCATTTTTCCCCTTCGTTGGAGCTTAAAAAAAAATGAAAAGAGCCTATTGTTTTAAGAACTGAAAGAATATTTTTTAAAAAGAAAAATTTGATAATTCGTGAAAAGATCAACTATGCTATGAAACTGAAAGAAAAGTTCTACAGGTGAACATAGAGCCTGAGAGGGGATTATGAAAAGTGAGTAAAATGCCCCAAACGATTTAGAAGTATTGCTGATGAATAGTCAACAAGTTGAAACAGCAGAAGAATGTGTCTAAAAATCACATGTTCTCCGTAGGAGCCCTGCAAGGCCACCAATGCTTTGATTCGATCTCTTACATCTGTCCTCTCTCTGACCACATATGCCTCTCATAATCAAAAGAAGACAGGATTTTTATGCCTCTGGTCTTTTCAATAACCATTAACAATTCACAGGAGCAGTGTTTTGAATCTGATCATTGAACTAGTTTAGGTTTTAACTGAGGACGAGATTCTCTTTGGGGCTTGGGAACAAGCTCATGAATGAGTGTATATAACACCCCAGTGTTTTTAGTAAGATCTGTGAGAGCTTAATGTTTGTGATACTGGTTAGATAATATTCCTTGTTTCAAATGCTATTGATTGAGCTTATTTCTTTTGTATTTTTTTTTAGTAAATGTTTGTACAAAAATAAAAAAGAGAATCGATAGTTTCTATTTTCTATTTTCCATCACCATAGCCCAGAAATCTGAGGTTGACTTTTTTAATGTAATTTTTTTTTCATTTTTAAGTTTTTAGGTTACCAAATTTAAATTCCAACCATATCTTATTCTTTACTTCAGTTGATTGCAAATTATTACAGTGTTTATTAATAATAAATATCATTTTAGGGTCATCTTCTAAGAGACAGAAAGCACTTTAGTAAGAAAGAATATTCACTCTGTTATCTCTAATTTCCACAGTAATTCTTCAAGATATACCTGTTCTCACTATTATGTATTTGGAAATAGCAGTTTAAAGAGGGTAGTTTACGTGCTTACACCTGAGAAACTGTGTAGTCAAGCCTGTGATTAAAAAACCATTTGACTCTTACTTTGTTTTAAAGAGAACTGAGTAAAAACACATCACATTTGAAAAATCCAAGCTCTTATTTCAAATAGCTAGACTTCTTTAAGTAGCTCTAATGGCCTAGTGGTAAAAAAGCTGCACTGCAATCCCAAAGGTATGTGGTTTGAATCCACCAGCTGCTCCACAGGAGAAGGGTGGGCGATCTTTCCTCTGCCCGCCGCCCCCCCCCCCACCGGAATTTACTGCCTCTGAAAATGCACTGGAGGGTTAGCTAGGTTAGACAGTACACAATAACAACAAATGGCCCAGTGGTAGAGTTGTCCTGCCACCCTTAAGGCATGCAGTTCAAGGTCACGTAGGAGAAAGACAGGCAATTTCCTCTCGATTTCACAATCACTTGAAAACCCAGTGGAGAGACAACAGTGAGTCGATTCCTGCTCGAAGACACGTAACAACAGACCTCTTTAGAAAGGCTCAAGACAGACTTAAGCATTTTCCTTATGGTTTGTCCACTTTTTTTGCCGGGATGTGGTACTTTTTAAAATGTTAAATTCACGGTTTCAGACTTCCTCCCCTCCTCCTGCCCCTTTGATCTTCCAGGCCCTCAGTACCGCCTGGAGAAGCAGAGTGAGCCCAACATCGCTGTGGACCTGGAGAGTACCTTGGAAAGCCAGAGCGCATGGGAGTTCTGCCTGGTCCGGGAGAACAGTACGTTGGCCTCCTCACTCTGTGCCTGCTTTGTCCTTTGCAAACATGCTTACGAGTTGTATGTTTGGAAACACTCCCTAGTCTGACTAGCCTAAGAAAGGAATTCGTTTCCCAAGGCAGACCTTAGTCTTCATGCAAAAAAATATATTCTAAAGCAAATGATTAATTTCATACTTCTTGCTAATGAATCTACAGCATTTTTCTGTTAAATTTTGCCTTCCTAGTCTGGCCTAGTGATAAGAAGCTGTGCTGCAATCCCGAAGGCATGTGATTCAAATTCATTAGCTTCTCCATGGGAGAAGGATGGGCAGTCTTCTCCCATGCGATTTATTGCCTCTGAAAACCCACTGGAGAGTCGGCTATGAGTCGGTTCTGACTCAGCTGCACACAACAACAACAGTCTGTAGAGGGCTGTGCTTCTAACGCAAGGACCATGCCTCCCTGGATATTCACATCCACCAGCAGCTCCAGAGGAGAAAGATGAACAATCTTCCATGTAATTTCCAGCTTTGGATACCCAACAGTTGGTGATGAGTCAGTTATTATTTAAAGACAATGAAGTTGTTAGGTTATTTTGTGTGTGTGAGAGATGATGGGGGGGCCTTGAGAGTAGTTTAGGAATTTGGGGCCTTTTTTGAGGGGCAGGGGGGATTATTTTGTGTGTAGTTATCTCTCATTATCATTATTTACGTTTCTTTGCTCATTATCATTGCTTAGACATCAAGAGGCCTTGAAGCTTTAGAATTTTAGTAATTTGCATATGCTTAGCAGGAGACCAAGTATTGGGCCCTAGGCAAATGCTTAGTAGGAACCAAGTAGTGGGCTCTAGTTCTATCTTTCATTTCATTTTTTAGTGTTTCAAGTTGTAAATTTTATCTTATTAATTTTTATCATTTATTGTTTTTATTATTTATTCTTTCCAGCTTCATTCTTCTTCTCAAATGCACAGCTGCACATCTCCCTTAGGGTAGTTAAAAGCTTTAAGCTTTATGGAAGCAGATTGCTGCTGGTGGGTTTGAACTACCAACCTTTTGTTGGTGGCCTAGTACTTATCCTCTGCATCATCATTAAAAAGGACCAGACAAGGCAGAAATTTCTCAGACTAAACTTACTTTGCATGTAAATACAAAAATTCTAAACAAAAATATTAACATAGTGAATCTTGAGATAATTAAAATAATAATGTTGCATTGGAAAATTGGTGCAGTATATCAATACCAGTTCCTTATTCTAGGAATACTGGATTGGTTTAACATTAGATAAACTCAGTCAATATGATATGACACAGTTACAAAAGAGAAAATTATCTCAATATACGTGGAATGTTATACAGCCATTCAAAGTTTTGTTTACCAAAAGTTTCATAAATGGGAAAGATAATTTTGATGTACTATTAAGGAGAGTAAATGTCAAGAATCAAAAATAGCACATAAAAAATAATTGTGTTTTATTGACTATATTAAGGCATTCAACCATGTGGATTATAGTAAATTGTGTCTAAAATGGAAAAGAATGGGAATTCCAGAACACTACTCATACAGAACCTGTCCCTGAACTTCCAAGTAGTCTTTTGAACAGAACAAGTTTATACTACATGGTTAAAATCAGTAACAATATGTGTCAAGGTTTTTTCCTTTGGCCATACTTATTCAGTCTGTATGTTGAGCAAATTAATTGGAAAAGCTGGACTGTAAAAAGAAGAAAACAGCATCAAAACTGGAGAAAGAATCATTGACAACATATAATATGCAAATAATGAAACGTTGCTTACTGAAACCAATGTGAACGTGAAGCACTTAATTGATGAAGATCAAAATATCTTCACTATGGATCAAAAAAACAAAGCTCCTCTCAATTGGACCAATAAGCAGCATCACAGAAATATCACAAGAAGATTGAACTTATAAAGGATTTCATTTTACTTGGAGCCACAAGCAGCAATCAAGAAGCCAAAAGATGTATCACATTGAGCACATCTGTCAAGAACCTCTTGAAAATGCTAAAGAGCAAGGATGTCAGAGTAAAGAATAAGATGCATCTAACAAGTTACATATTGCTTCATATGAGTTTGAAAATTGACTAACAAGTAAGGAAGACTGAAGAAGACTTGAGATCTTTGACTGCGGTGTTGGCAAAGAGTATTGATTATACCATAGTCTGCCAAAGGACAAACCTGTTTTAGAACAAGTACAGCTAGAGTAGTCCTTAGAAAGACAAATGATGAAACTTTGTCTCATATACTTTGAGCATGTTGTCAAGAACTTCATCTCTGGGAAAGAGCTTCATACTTAGAAAGGTGGAAGATTAGAGGATAGGAATAACCCCCAATGAAATGCACAATGACTGTGAGAGGGACATAAACACAGCAGAGATTGTAAAGGTGAAGCAAAATCAGGCAAAGTTTTGACTCTTTGTACATAGGGTCACTATGATCTTTAATGAAGTCAACAGCGTCTAAGAACAATAACAAAGACAGAAAATCAGATCAAACAAAAAACATTTTTTAAAATGGAAAGGAAAATGTCGATAGACTTGTCACTGGTTGGCAAAATTCTGGGATTTTTCTTTCCACAACTCTACTCAGCTAGAGAACACTGTATGGTTTAAAATCATTAAGGTGTACATCAAGACTTTTCCTTTCTCCATTCCTATTCAGTGTTCATGCTGAGCAAATTATTGATGAATCTGGTCTTTATGAAGAAGAACATGGCATCAGGTTCATAGGAAGACTTGGCAGCAATCTGTGTTTAAGACGTATTGCATTGGAGAAAATATGCTGTCAAGGATTTCTCCAAGATGCTAAAGAACGACAGAGTCTAAAGTTTAAGGATGAAGGTATACTTGATTCAAACCATGATCTTTTCAGTTACTTTCTTTCTATGTGTCCAAAAGTTAGACAGTGAACAAGAATGATAGAAGAATCAATGTGTTTGAATCATGGTGTTGGAGAAGAGTACTGAATATCCCATGGAAGGCCCAAAGAACAAACAAATATATATTGGGAAAAGTGCAACCCAAGATACTCTGTTGAGGCAAGGATTGTGAAACTTTCTCTCACATGAGCTGGACATATTTGTGGCCAGGGCTCGTCCTGGAAACCTTGGAAAAAGACATTATGTTTGGAAAGAAGGAGAGTTAGCAAAAGAGGGGAATACTTTCTACAAGATAGATCTACACTTGACTGCAACACTGGGCACAAGTACATCAGAGATGATGAGATGGCACAGGATATGACAAAGTTCAGATCCATTGTTCATAGGACCACTATGAGTTGTAGTTGACTCAGTAGCTCTTAACAGCAATAACCACATACTTTACGTACAGAGAACTGGGGTAGATTAGTCAATAAGAATTTATTTCTAACCCAAATGTGTCACCTCCAACCCACTGCTAACCTATCGACAGCTACACCTCTCTGCTGGTTCTAATTCATTGACAGCCCTATGTTATTGGAGAGAAAGATGGGCACTCTCCTCTCGTGCAGTTCACAGCCTGCTGGAGGGTCTGCTATGAGTCAATGCCATATCAGTAGCAATGAGAGTTAGTATACTTTATATGTTCTTCCCAGATTCCTGGAGTGAGCATGCATGACTCTCTAAGACTAAAACAAGCAGTAAGGCCAAATTCACATAGGTAAAGATTATATAGTGAGAATATAGCAATTTTTAGTATGACAAGCCTTGTAATAGTTGAAGTCTTAAACAGCTTTTAGTACTGCACCATAGCATATCAAAGGACAAATTTTCACCACTTATCTGTCAGTTTACCGTACTGTAATGACATGCCTGTTGCTATGATGTTAGAAGCTATAACACTAGTGTTTCAAATACCAGCAGGGTCACCCTATGGCGGACAGATTTCACCAGAGCTTCTAAACTAAGTCAGGCAAAGAAGCAGGACAGTGGAGTGGAGGGGTAGGCAGAGAGAAAAATGCAACAATGAATGAATGGAAATCTAAAATCTCTGTAAACATTCATTAAAATTAACAAAATGGAAAAAAATTAAATATTTGGGAGTGAACCTAACTGGAGGCACAAAAGACCTGTACAACATTTCTGCAACGCACAGTAAAAGAACTAAAAACATGGAAATATGTGCCCTGATCATGAATAGGAAGGCTAAATATTGTGAAAATGACAATCCTACCAACAGCAAACTACATGTTCAATGCAATCTCAATACAGACACCAAATTCCTTTTTCAAGAAGAATAATAGGGAAAATGTTACATTTATTTGAAGAGGAAAGAGACCTTAAATAAGCAAAGTACTCTAAAAAACAAAAATGAAGTGGGAGGCATGGTACTCAGTGACCTCAAAACACAGTGGTAGTAACCAAAACAGCATGGTACTGGTACAGTGACAGGCATATAGACCAGGGGAACAGAATTAAGAACCCAGAAATAGACTCATCAACTGATATTCAACAAGGAAATAAAACCTATCAAATGGGGTGCTGGCAAAACTGAACAGCTAACTGCAGAAAGCGAAACAAGATCCACATCTCACACTATACACAAAAATCTACTCAAGGTGGATAAAAGACCTGTGAGTCAAACCCAAAACCATAAAGGCCGTAAGAGACTAAGAGACGAACTGGGATCAAACCTAGATGGCCTAGTCTGTGTTAAAAGTGACTGCAAATACAGTCAGAAATGCACAATCTGGAAAGGATAAAATTAATAGATGGAACCTTTTAAAGATTAAATTCCTGTGTGTGTCAAAAACATTTTCCAACAGAGTGAAAATAAAGCCTACTGACTTGGAAAAACATTTGGCAATGCCATTTCAAGCAAGAGTCTCATATCAAAATTTACAGAATTCTACAGGACCTCCACAAGAACAAATTGATAACACAATTACAAAATGAGCAAAAGACGTGTAAAGACTTTTCATAGAGGAAGATATTCAGATGGCCAACAGACACAGGAAGAAATGCTCAAAATCACTGGCAATAAGAGATGCAAATAAAAATTACAATGAAATTTGATGGGTGGGGAGT